TTATATGATTACCTTATTGATTCCTCTAGGAATATTAAAAATAAATTGGTTAAAGTGATTGTAAACCTCAGACATGAAATATGAACAAAATGTATCCCTCTATTGTGTCTCAATTAACCTCCCTGGCAGTATTCCCGAGTGTAGCTCGGGGTTAACTTTCAGTACCAAAAGCGGTAACCCCAAGCTACACTCGGGTTTACCCTGCAGCGTTGCTCTGGGATTCCCTGTTTCACTTACCTTGTCCTGCAATGTCCCCCCTGCAGTGTCCCCGGCAATCTCCTTAGGCCGATGCCGGCATCCATTTTCCAGTTTCAGGTCCCTGCGAGCTTCGGGACGTACGGGGCCTGAACTGGCAGGAAATTAAAAAATTTTAAAAAGTGACATTCACTAAATACACTAAAATCACATAGTAAAACATTACTGTATCAAAGCATTTCACATACATTTTGTCCCTAGTGCTTTGTCCTGTGCCCCGCCTGCATTTTTACTGTTCTTTCTGCCTTGAAACTGAGAAATGTCCATGGCGTCCAAAAAGCGTCCCTTTAGGTCAAAAGCGGTTTTAGACCAGCTAGAGAACAGCGATAGTAAATTAGAACCACTTCGAGAATTGAGTGATAATGATTCGTGGGGAAATTCATCAGCAAGCACTGAAAACGATTTTGTGACTAAGCTCAGTGATGTGCAAACTTGGCGCTCTATTTCAAATTTCAGTGTTTTTGGTTTGATTATATTTTTTAATTTATTATTATTATTATTTATTATATGATTATTTTTATGATTATTTATTATATTATTTATGATTTCGTGTTTTCAAATTTTGTCATACCCGGAATGTTTACTAGACTCTTGTTCGGACAGATTTCAGTGAGTTATTCCTAAAAATTACAGGCCTACAATAAAAAAAACTACATATTTCCATGCAAAAAAAGTACCGCTTTGAGCACAGAAATATTGACATAATCATGCCGCTAGGGAGGTTAAGAGCACTAAGTGTCATTTCTGTCTGATGTCTCCTACCTCTGCTATCAGCATGTGTCACTTTTGACCAGTTTTCCTGACACAAAGAGAAAAAAGTCATCGGGGGAGGGACCTCCAGCTGATTGACAGCCTCAGCTCTATTCCTGTGTGCTGTGTGAAGGGGGGTGTGCCCCTTCCCTCCTATCAGCTCTCACTGAGCTCTGCAGTGAACTCTTAGACAAACTTTATAAATTCAGCACTTTGAAGAAATGTAGAGAAGAGAAGACAGGTACAACTTGTGTAAGAGGATTTGTTTAATCTGTGTATCCTGAGACCAGTCACTTCACTGGGTATATGTAAGGGTTTACAACCACTTTAATTCTGTCTTTCTAATAGTATGGGTGTCTGTTGGAAATTTCTGGGGGAAGGTGATGTCTGGTAGAAATGAGGCATGAAAGAGTATTAGGTAAATCCTCTGCACTTCACATCTTGCCTAGAAACCTTCTTCGTTCTCTAGCACTACACAGAAGGTCATAGCATCACTGGTTGCTAGGATGCTGTTGGTTGAATAGCATTACTGGTTGGTGGGAAGCTGTAAGGAGCAAAATGTCATTGGTTGTAGGATACTGTTAGCTGCATATCTGACAGCATCCTAGCACCCAATGATGCTATGCAACTGACAGAATCCCAGCAACCAGTGATGCTTTGCAGCAGGGTTGCCAACCATCAATACATTTAATGACAGTTTATAAAAATCAGTGATTTTTACAGCCGTCAGTAAATGCTCGCTAGAGAAATTTTATGTTAGTAAAACAGTTATTTTTTAAGCAGGTTAGTGTTGGTTCAGCAAGTGTAAGGCTTCATGTACATGAGCAGCTGCTAAACTCAAGTTTAGGAACTTTTGGCTTTTTTTTGCCAAAGCTCCTAAACTCAACTCCATAAACGTCTGTGTGTCCATGTATACATAGGCTTTTAGCAAAGCTTAGGAGCTGCTGCGTTTAAGTGAGGTTAAACCTACTTCTCCTGAATGCGTTCCGGATAGGAACGTTTTGACCGCTGACCGTGGGAAAACGCAAAATGCAGCAAAATTGCAGTACCGCGGTTGCCACACTTGCCAAGATTTGCGTTTTCCCATGGCTGGCAGTTAGGGTAGGCTCGTGTACATGGAGCCTAAAAAAAAAACCCTTGACAGCTTGATGCAGCACCAGCAGCCACTTATCCAGGCAGAGTTTGTAGCCAGTTGAGATTATTTTTAAATAGAAACAGGCTGGAGCTGGCGGTTACATTTGCTGATCCTGCTCCTCTAGTTCCAGCTGCAGAGTGATCTCAACTGTGCTTCACCTGCCGCCTCTCTGCATAGATAGGTAGTTGGAACCTGGTGCTTGTTTGGCGGAAACAACTCCTAAAGCCTGTGCCCATGGCACCCATGCCTCGCATCTGCACTACACTCGCCTCCTGAGTAACCAATCCTGATCTTTTGCAGCTGCAGTTCTCCATAAGGTACTGTCAAGGAAGGGGATTTCGGGGTAGGAGTAGAGCCCTGTAATGGGGGAGGGGGCTGAACCCTGCACTCTGTACGCAGCGAACCCCTGAACCCTGCACTCTGTATGCAGCAAACCCCTGAACCCTGCACTCTGTATGCTGTGCACACCTGAACCCTGCACTCTGTATGCAGTGAACCCCTAAACCCTGCCTTCTGTAAGTAGTGCACCCACGAACCCTGCTCTCTGTATGCAGAGCACCCCTGAACTTTGCACCCTGTATTTAGCACACACATGAACCCTGCACCCTGTATTTAGGACACACACATGAACCCTCCACTCTGTATGTAGCGCACACCTGAACCCTACACTCCTGAACCCCGCACTCTGTACTTAATGCACACTCCTGGTATTTAACCACTTGCCCTCCAAAGGATTTCTCCCCCCCCCCCCCCCCCTTCCTGGCCAGGCCATTTTTTGCAATACGGCACTGTTACTTTAACTGACAATTGCATGGTCATGCAACACTGCACCCAAATGAAATTTTATGTCCTTTTTTTCCTCACAAATGGAGCTATCTTTTGGTGGTATTTGATCACTTGTCTGCTTTTTATTTTTTGCGCTATAAACAAAAAAAGACCTACAATTTTGAGAGAAAAACAATATTTTTGGCTTTTTGCTATTAAACACGTCCAGTAAAAAAAAATGAAAAAGTCAAATTTCAACATAAATTTAGGCCAAAATGTATTTTGCTATATGTCTTTGCTAAAAAAAAATCCCAATACGTGTAAATTTAATTGGTTTACGTGAAAGATATAGCTTCTACAAATGACGGTATATATACTGGATTTTTCTTTTTATATATATATATATATATATATATATATATATATATACTAGTAATGGCAGCAATCAGCGACTTATAGCGGGACTGCGGAGGGCATTCTGATACTGGAGAACTGACTGTCACTGACATCCCCAGTGACAATAATACGGTGATCAGTGCTCATAAAAAGCACTGACAATGTACTAATGGCACTGGGCAGAAAGGCGTTAACATCTGGAGAGATCAAAGGGTTAACTGTGTGCTGTGTGTGTGCTTTACTGTGTTGCTTCGTATTGCTATGCAGAGCAATACAAAGCAGTGTGCAGGAGTTGACAGGAGAGATCTGTATTGTTTACATACAGGTCTCTCCCCCGTCAATGATACTCGGAAGCGCTGGGTGCTGGCGGGGAATCTCCGGCCGGCACCCAGTGATCGATAGCTGAGGCCGCCAATGGCAGTGCGGGTAGGGCCTCCTACCCGGAAATGCAAAATCACGTATATATACGTCATTTTGTGTAGCTCTGCAGCAGTATTTCTGTTATAAGGAGGCGGGAAAGCGGTTAATGCCTCTTTAAGACCCTCCCACTGTTAGTGCAGGAGGTGATACTGCTGTCTCCTGAATGTTTTTTTTGTTTTCCAAGCTGAATGGGAATTTTAGTTTAAAATACCGTGTCATAACTGCAAGCCAAGCGTTTGGCTTGTGGCTGATTTGCAGCCCAAATGAGCTCAACAGGCACGTTTGACAGGTGATGTTGCCTGTAAAACTATGAAGCTAAGCATCGAGGTCATGGCAATGTGTATGCACCCAAGCAGCTGCTATGTTCATTCAGCGGTTCTCAACCTGTGGGTCACGACCCCTTTGGGGGTCGAACGACCCTTTCACAGGGGTCACCTAAGACCATCGGAAAACACATATTTCTGATGGTCTTAGGAACCGAGACACCGCTTCTCTATCCGTCTCCAGGCGGGTCCACCCACATGCGGATACGTCCACATACGAGTACCCGGTGTGATGACATCATTGCGCCAACCCCATCACATACACCCCATACAAATACAGGCGTATGTGACAGGGTTGGCGCCATAATGTACTTATGTGGACCAGTCACACGTGTAAAGAGCAGCTACTGTGTAGAAAGCAGCTACTCTGTTAAAGCAGCAGTATTGGAGGTAAAACGACACTTCATGACTTATAATTACTGGGTAAATAATTTTATGGTTGGGGGTCACCACAACATGAAGAACTGTATTAAAGGGTCACAGCATTAGGAAGGTTGAGAACCACTGATTTAGAGGTAGGTGGTCAGGGAACAGTTCTGTTTAACTACTAGCCTACAGGGCACTTATACCCCCTTCCTGCCCAGGTCAATTTCCAGCTTTTAGCACTGTCACACTTTGAATGACAATTGCGCGGTCATGCAACACTATACCCATATGAAATTTTTATAATTTTTTTTTTGAGACAGATAGAGCTTTATTTTGGTGGTATTTAATCACCTCTAGGTTTTTTATTTTTTTTTCTTAAACCAAAAACCACTGAAAATTTTGACAAAAAAAGTTTTTTTCTTAATTTTTTGTTATAAAATTTTGTAAATAAGTGATTTTTCTCCTTCACTGATGTGCGCTAATGAGGCTGCAGTGATGGGCACTGATAGGCTGCACTGATAGACACTGATAGATTGGTAGGAGGCACTGATGGGCATTGACAGGCATCACTGATGGGCACTGAAAGGCAGCACTCATATATGGCACTGATAGGTGGCACTGACTGGCACTGTTAGGTGGCACTGATAGGCGGTACTGGTGCACACTGATGGGTGACACTGAAAGGCAGCTCAGATGGGCACTGATATGTGACATTGATGTGCACTGGTAGGCACTGATATGTGGCATTGATGTGGCACTGATGGGCACTGGCAGGTGGCATGGATGAGCACTGACAGCTGGCACCACTGATGGACACTGACAGGTGGCACTGCTGGGGCTACACAGATCATCAGGGCACACTGATCGTCAGTGCCCTGATGATCAGTGTACATGTCACCTCCTGAGGGATGCCGATTACCGGCTCTCCTCTCGAGCTGTCAGCGTGACAGCTCGTGAGGAGAGAAATGCCAATAACCAGCATTTCCGTATTTACATGTGATCAGCTGTGATTGGACACAGCTGATCACATGACCGAGCCAACATCTTCGGCTCTTTTCGTTGATCGGTGATCTGCTGTGTCCGAGGGACACAGAGCACCGCCAATCGCCGCGCAAGCCCAGAGCCGCGCATGCGCAGTTAGAATGGGAGAACGGCATATGACGTCCTACCAGAACAAAAGAACCGCCTTTATTGTGTGTCCCTGTTAGGGAGATTCACCCACTGTTTCTCCTATTCACTGAAAGTGAAAGAAAATCCCAACTTTGGAGTTGTCACTATAACAGGAATAGAGTGGAAATTTTGCAATGGGGACACTAATTATTATTATACAGGATTTATAAAGCGCCAACAGTTTGCTCAGAGCTTTATAATGGGAGACAATACAGTTCAATACAAGAGGGATAGGAGGGCCCTGCTCCTTGGAGCTTACAATGTAATTCTGATGACACTGAGGGATTTTCTCACTGGAGGCATTTCTTTCACTTCTGGTTTTAGCTATGGGGCAGGGAATAAAAAAAAAAGAAGAAAAAAATCCCTTTTAGTTCTATATTTACCAAAAATTAAAGGAAAAAAAGCAAATAATAAAATGTATATGTAATCCTAGGGCAATAGACAAATCAAATCCATGTGCTGCAGGAGAGAACAATAGGCTGACACACTACATGTGGAGCAAAGGAGTCAGCTAGCAGTTTCCCTCCTTCATTTCGAGGAAGGCTGTTGATTGGTTGCTAAAGATAGCTGGGTGACTTTATGTAAGTCAGTGTAATAGGTTTGCATGTGGATACACCATGCCCCATAGCCCAACATAAGAGCAAGGCAGAGTGTGTGGGCGTGGCTGGTGACGTCTCTGATGGCTGTGGCCGCCCTGCACATGTCTGTGTCCCGGTATTAGGTGCACCTCGCTCTCCACTTGCAGTGCAGTTGATGTTTGACAGCTGAGTTGTGTACAGGACATCCAGTGGTATGGAGATCTGAGATCGACAGCCTCATCTATCATCCCACACAGCCTGCATACATCTCATTGCACCATCACCAAGTCTTCTATCTTTTATGTTAGGTAAGTCTTTTCCTCCTACATGGGAGGGCTTATACAACATGCTACAGCCATCCATCCACTGCATGTCTCTGGGGATGTTCTCCCCTAACTGTAGGCAGGTAATGCTATTGATTTCATCCTATGTGATTACTGATTTGTCCATGTTTTTGTGTACCTAATGATTCTTCCTTTTTGTAGCTAATCGCGATTTATGTTTCATCCTGGGTTCTCACTTCTGCGGTTTGGAACATCGCATGTGATTCGCACAGGAACAGCACCACAAATCACAAGCGAATTCTGTCTGATGCAATTTGAGCCATACATTTTGTATGGCTCGAATCGCACAGCATCTGCGCCAAAAAGGTGCAGGACCCCTTCTTCTCTTCTTTTTTTTTTTTTTTTTTTTTTTTTTTTTCCTTGTCCACACTAGAATTGGATCTCGTGCTGTGGGAACCGATTTCAGGGTATTAACGTAACATACACACCCACAGCGGTTTACATGAACGGGGTGTGATTTTATGATGTGGAATTCGCACAGAAACTGGTGCAAATTCTGCACTGCATCAGTGTGAACCCAGGCTAAAATAAATTCCATGTCATCAATTCAGAATTTATAATATGAAGCGCTAGTAATAGTTTATGTATATTCCCTGAAACACTTAACAAAGATTGGCGCATGGTGAAAAATGTGGCAATTTCTGTACATATACATGCATAAAATGCTGCACAACTATTTGTATAGTGGTGCGCTGTCCATCCATACACATTCCCCCCCCCCCCCCCCCCCCCCCCCCCTTACTACAGTATTTGCACTACTGCAGTCATCGTGTACATTTTCCATCAATTTTTAACTTAGAACTTTGGTGTGTTTTGAATATTTTGGTACATGCTGTCGGACATTAAAAGAAACTGACCCATATCACTTTTAGAGCTTGTTCACACAATAGAAACGCAGTCCAGATGCATTTCTGCATGGGTGTTTTTGATGCGTTCCAGTGCAATTGTTTTTTTTTGTTTTTTTTTTATGAATTCCGGTTAATTTTTTTCCCTTCTCCTTTTTTCCAATTTAAATATGGACATGTGCATTCCGGTGCGATTTTGATGTGTTTTTACATGTTCCAGTAAAGTTCTGTGCAGAAAAATGCAGCTTGTTCTGCTTTTTTTTTTTTTTTTTTTTTTTTTTCCCCAGAACTGCAAGCACTGATCTGAATCCTAGATTGTAAGCTCCAAGGAGCAGGGCCCTCCTATCCCTCTTGTATTGAACTGTATTGTTGCTGTATTGTCTCCCTTTATATTGTAAAGTGCTGAGCAAACTGTTGGCGCTATATAAATCCTGGATAATAATAACTATAACATTGACAACCATATAACCTACTTTCTGTGCATTTTGGATGCAGAAAAAAAAAAGCAACCGAAAAGCATGTAGTGTGAACTGGCCCTTAGGCCCTGTTCACAGCAGAAAAGTGCACTCCGGATACTTTCTGGATATGTTTTTTGCTCACAGTTCACACCACAGTCTTCTGTTGCAGTTTTGATGAAGTTTCCTATGTTCCAGTACAGTTCTGTGCAGAAAAAACGCAGAATTTTCTACTTATTTTTTCTGCACTGGAAACTGACTGGAACTGACTGCACTGGTGAGAACTAGGGCCATTGGAATACATGGAAAACACTGTGCATGCGTTTTTGATGCAGAAAAAAAACAAAACACACTGGACTACATCTAATGTGCACTAGCCCTTAGAGCTTGTTCACACCATGTACAGAGCCCTGTGTGTTTTTGTTTGTTTTTTTTTTTAGTTGTTTATGTTTTTTCCATATTTAGCTAACACAGGTCTCTGCAGGGACACATAGACACTATTGTTTTCTGTGTGTTCTGATCACCCCACAACTCAGCAGTGTTGAAAACTGTGCATTTGTTTTTCGTAACGCACATGCATTGTATTTATGTGCCTTTTTTTATCATGCATTCAAGTTCAAGTAATGTAATGAAAATGCACAACAGCAAATATTGACTTGCATTAAAATACACTGAAATGTGTAAAAACAACTGCGAATGTGTATTGGGGCAATGAGTTTTTTTGCACATTCTACATGGAGAATTTGTAATGGCATTGCTGAATTGCAAAAAAAAAAGATATTTCTCCATTTTGTGTGTTGTTGAATAATGTAGACAATACACGGCTGTAGTACATCCCCATTAATCACAAACTACAGTATCTATTACTGTATCTAAAACCTTTCTAAGGCTAGGTTCACACCTCTCAGGTTGCATTTGAGCTGTTTCTGCATTGCGTTTTTTATCTTGCACTTGTGTTTTTCACGCGTTTTTGCCATGTTTTTGATGCGTTTTGCAGTTTTTTGTTTTTTAGTTCTTCAGATTTTAACATTTTTCTTGTTGCTAGGCAGATTTAAATCTTAAAAATGCAATGTATTGCTTTTCTGCAGTGTTTCCACTGAAATCTATAGAAACAAAAAACACAACTTTTTGCGTTTAAAAAAAAAAAAAAAAAAGTCCCTGACCCTTTCCAAAAAAATGCACCGGGTGAAGACGCAGAGATGTGAACCTGTCCCATAGGAAATCATGTTAAATGGATTATACTACGTTTCTGCAGAACACTGCAGAAAACGCTTAGGCGTGAACCTGGGGTAAAGCTGACCATAGACTAGCAGAATTGTGTTTGAACATTTTTGTTTTATTTAAATTTGAATAGATTTTCTAATCATTAGTGAGGTCAAAACGATTTTGATTGCAGTGATGAGAAAATGCAAAGGCGCTACATGCAATATTTTTCTTAAATCCTCCTGTATGTGGTTTACGTTCTGGAAAGTTCATTCACTTTCGAAATCGAAAATTAAGAGCAAAGGTTTTCTGAACGAGGTTCATCATGTCATCCTATGTGCTGATAATTTTTGTACTAAATGTTCTTCGTTTGACAATCCTGCTAGTGCATGCCTAGCTCAAGGTTCAGTCCTTTTTGTTGTTGCAACAGGTGGAGCTGATTGATAGTGACACATCTCTCACCTTTGGTCACCATTAAAAATGCCAATAAGGGGTGGTAGAAAAAAAGGAGACAGACTGTAGAACTACAGATTTCAGTATATCTAGCAGGACAGACCTAGAGATTAAAGATGTAAAAATAGAGCTTTTGTAATAAGAGATAAAAAGCTTTTTATATTCTGTCATATTCTAGCAAGCAGTTCAGATTTAGGGCTCATGCACATGGGTATATTCTGTAAAATGTGACTGTATTTCAGCATCCAGGAGCAACTGAGGTTGTGTACAGCTGCCTATACAAATGAATTCCAGGATGCAGCTGTATACGCAGCTCCCAGCTTAAACATATTGCATCCTGGGTGAATGTTTGTACATGTTTATGCTCGGAGCTGCATACAACCGTATCCTGTAAGTCATTTGTACAGGCAGCTGTGCACAACACCGGTGCCTCATGGGTGCCGAAATGCAACCGTTTTTTATCATGTATGTTAAATACACCATGAGCATGAGCCCTTTGAGTACTTTAATAACTTATAGCTAGCTTGTTGGAAGTAGATTTGTAATTAGTTGCTATGGGATATAGCACATTGCTGGCTTTTACATTGCTTAGACTGCCTAGTGTGCCTAGAATATGCAAAAAAAAAAAACCCAGTTAGTCATTTAATTGTCAATCAGTTATAATTTGTGTAAAAACCTAGGCATTAAAATGGAAGAACTATACAAACACAGTAAAAATAGAAAATCAGTCCCACGCTTAACACACTGAGGAATGGAAATCTAAAACAAAAAAACAAAAATTTTTGACTAGTGTGGTATTTTATTTCTCATTGCACAAATTTAAAAAATAAAGCTAAATCTGTAGTACTCGGTTCTCCATACTGTTGAAAGCCACTGACTAGTCAGCCAGTGTATTATTTTCTTTATAAGGTTGGTTCTTTAAAAGGTACCTGTTCTTGAACTATCTCCTGATCTTTACAGTGACAGAAAACGCACCCAGAAAATGGCTAATGGTTAACATGGTAGTGCTCTCAAT